GTTGCCCGCGAAGGCCAGCCACGGCACACCTGCAGCGCTGGCCCTGGCCCACGAGGTGTGCGACGGCAACCACGTCAAAGTGAGGAACCCAGGGCCGAGGTCGTCGAGCAGCTGCCAGATCCGCTTCCACAGGTCCGCGTACTTGTGGCCTGGGCCGCAGCAGCGTCCTCGGCCTGCCTCGAGGTCGTCCTTGATCCCCTTGCAGTCCGTATAGACCGTGATGGGCGATGGGCCGACCTCCTCCAGGACCCTGCGCAGCGCGTAGAGCTCCGCGTAGCCGATCTCCTGGATCCAGCCTGGCGTGAGCCCGAAGAGGCCGCCGACGGTGTTCCCGACGTCGTTCACCACCACTGCTGCCCATCCCGTGCGTGTCAGGCACGGGGCCTCGGGGTACATCGCGGACCCGTCGATGCAGATGACACCCTCGAGGAGGCCGCGACGCGCGCAACCTGCGCGGTGGCAGAGCTCGTCCGTGCCAGGGGGCGGGGCTTGGTCCAGCCCGAGGTTGACGAGGCCCCTCACCAGGCCTAGGTCGTCCTGCGGCGCCCTCCTGCCTGCGTCGGCGATCTCCTGGAAGCCCAGGTCGCGCGCCCAGCAGGCGATGGCGGGGCACGCGAACAGCCTGTGGTGCGCCGTGCCTGGTGCTTCCCCGCACCACTGGCACAGCGGGCTGAGCTCCGCCCTCTCGTCGTACAGGTCGGACTGCGTGACGAGCCCTCCTGCCATGTGCGCCTCCACCAGCGCGGCCTCCTGCGACTTGCCAGCGCGCCGCATGCCCGCCAGAGCCGTCCTAAACGGCTCCAGGTTGGGCGGGCGGCCCTGGAGATGCTCGAAGCCCTCGTGGCTCGCGATCTTCAGCATGAGGTAACGGTGGACCCCATTCTCGACGAGGCTGGCCACCATCCGCGGGCTGAGCAGCTGCAAGTCGAGGATCTGCCCACGGTCGTCCTTCCAGCGGTGCCAGTCCAGCAGCTCCCAGCCGATGCGCTCCAGCGAGAGGCGGACCGCCCCTGCTGGCCCAGTTACCTCGCCCCAGTCGCCTGGTCTGCACTCCAGCACCTGCTTGAAGACCGCAGGGGGCCGCACGCGTAGGAAGACGGCGCGAGCCCAAGCCCTCAACGGGAGGACGTGCGCCGCGTATGCTGGGTCGTGCTTCCAGTCCTTGCCCTCCTGCAGGGCGAAGAGCACCGTCCTGGATTTCTGGCCGATCTCGCCCGAGATGGCCCTGCCGTTGACTGCTCGGGCGCGCTGCAGGGTCTTCGTGGGTACTCCGCTGACTCTCGCGCCGTGGAGGATGGACGCCAACCCTCCTGTCCTGAAAACCTTCGAGAGCCTCTTGGCCCCCGCCTTGCGCAAGGCTCTGTACCGCCCAGCCCTCTGGCTCAGGCGATCGATCCTCTGCCGTAGCACCCTCCACGAGGCCGACCTCGCCATGGTGAAGTCCACGCCCAGGTTCTTTGTGGCCTTCACGTGCGTGAACTTCCAGCGTCTGAGCCTGTGGGCGACTCGCTTGGCGATGTCGGAGTCGGTGCACAGAACCTGGCCCTTCGTCAAGGAAATGGTGAAGCCGATGGCCTCCAGGTCCAAGCAGAGGGCGCGGGTGGCCCCGACCAACAGGTGCTCCAGTTGCGCACGCTTGGCATAGACTGCTAACGTGATGTCGTCGACTACGAGGTATGGCCGCACCATCTGCCAGGACGCCAGCACTCGGAGCAGCGTCGTGGCAAAGGAGCAGCCCGCCAACAGCGACAGGAAAACCTGGAAGGCCTCCGTCATCCAGCGGTCCACTTCGCTTCGTCGTGCCTGATCTTGCCCAGCAGGCGGATCAGGGAGGCGATCAGGCCGATGGGCCGCCAGCCCCCAAGCAGAGGCGCCTCCTGCCTCCGTAGAGGCGAAGGAGGATCTTGACCCTCCTCAGCGGGAAGCCCTCCCTCCCCGCGGCGTGGACCATCCCCCTGTGCGTGACCCTCTCGTAGGCCTTGCTGAGGTCCAGGAGCGCGGACGCGGCCTCCAGGTTCAGCGCCTTCGCGTGGTCCGCATCGAAACTCTGCAGCCAGACCGCGTCCTCGCAGGACCTGCCAGCCCCGCCGAAGAAATAGGGCCTGTCCCTGGCGGCCTCCCAACCTCCTCCTCCTCCTCCTCCTCATCCTCCTCCTCCTCCTCCTCCTCCTCCTCCTCAATCCTCGATCCTCATCCTCGATCTCCCTCCTCAAGCCCCCTTCCTCCCCGATCCTCCCCGACCCTGCCACTCGATCCCTTCCCCCTCCTCGACCCTCCCCCCCCTCCTGCAGCGCACGGCCTTGGCCCCCCCCCCCCCTGCTCCCGCCGGCCCCCGAAGGGGTGCACCGCAGGAGCGGCCCCCACGGGCAGGAGCGGCCTCCGGTGCGGCGGCCGTTTCGGGGGGGCCCAGGGGCCAGGATCGGGCCAGGCGTGTGCTCCTGTCGGGTCGGGCGAAGGGGGGGGGATACCAAAGGGGGGGTTTGAGAATCAGCTCACGTAGCTGATTTTCCCGGCGCCTCCCGGCGCCGGAGGCGGCCATGTATCGAGGAATGGGCGCCTCGGTGAGGCCGAAACCAGCTGCATGCAGCAGATTTCGTAACCCCCCCTTTCCCAATCCCCCCCTTTCGCCCGACCCGATCCTGCAGGCGGAGCTTGGGCGAGCGAAAAACTAGAAAATGGTCCA